ATCTTGCTTCTGAAATATCAACCTGGGATGGAGTGATAGTGACACCTTCAGAGAAAGCTTATGAGAAGCCACCGGAGAAGAAGGAAGGGGAAGAAGAGGAAGAGAACACGGAAGAACCACCTCAGGGCGAGGAGGAGGAGAGCATGGAGACTCAGGAATGACCTCCCTTCCTCCCTTCCTCCCTTCCTCGCCTAAGCCGGCTGTTGGGCTTTGCATGGTGGCATCTGTGGGGTAGGGGAGACAGCAGGAAGAACAAGCTGCAGAAAGACGCATCATTCTGCTGGGTTCTATACTGGCTTAGCATCCAGAAGTCTCCCATTTGTGACTTATGCCACCTGTCTATAATGAAGCAGGATACCAACATTTCATCCTAATACTCTAGAATTCCCAGTACCTGACAGCCCCTATAACCAGTACTTTGTTGTTGAACTGTGAACTGTTTTAAATGTCTGGAGATTTTTCTAAGAAAAACGATTAAAGTACTTCCTAGTAGGGCTCTTGGTTTTGTTCTTTCTTGGTACCTGGCAAATTTTTCTCTAACTGAAAATGGTACTTGGAAGGGGCCAGCCAGGTAGCGCAGTGGACTAAAGTGCCTGCTTAGGCAGAGTGCAGCAGCCAGGGTTCGATTCCATGGCATGCTATGCTGGCCCCAGCCTGGAGCACACTGAGGCAGCAATTGAGACTAGGTGTGGTGGCGCTCGCTTGTAATCCTAGTGCTTGGGAGGCTGAAAACAGAATCACTGAGTCTGATCTATGTGGTGAGACCTGTAGACCCTGTAATAAATACATACAGAAAAAAAATGGTACTTGAGTCTATACACACTAAGGTCACAACTTGAAATCAGCTGAATTAAAACTTCTGGAACCTTTTCCATATAACCAAAGTAAACTAGAATACTGTTGAAACATTTATTGAGTTAAATGGTTCTAGTTTTACTGCTACTGTATTCAAGCCGGTGCAATCAACGAGAGGGCAGACAAAGCCTGTCCTCTGATTCTTGGTGTAAACGAAGGAGAAGCCACAGGGGACATGCTGCCCAGTGCCCAGGTCTGAGAAACTAAATGTAACAAAGGATGCTCCCCTGGTTACCTAGGCCTGAAAAAGGTGAGCCTGGGATCATAGTCTTTGGAAAAAGGTAGAGGCCTCCGCTTATTCTTGGAGGGAGGGGGAGCTCAAGTGCGGCTGTACATGGGTTTCTCAGGGCCCTACGTGAGTGAGTGCTTCAAACCCCCAGGGGTGCCTTTTCAGCGGTCCAAGGTCTACAGGGATTGCTTCTGGAATCTTCTCAAATCTGGAGACAAGCTGGGGACGCTACCTGTGCTACTCAGGTCCCAGGCCCGTCTTCTGTGCGTTACTTGCTTGGGGAGCCAGGGGGATAGACTCCAGAGTCCAGCATTGCCCTCCTGCGGGCTGTTTCCTTGGCAACACTATGGTTTAGCCTCCGAAGCCGTTCCTACAAGACAGGAAGATTTGGTACCTGATTGCTGTGATAGGCCTCAGGTGGCTTAAGTCAAGCAGGCCCTGAGAAATATCTTAGTATATCTTCAGTGTCTTCCGGAGTATAGGTGAGCATGTAAATGACAGCAACTGGACACTGAGAATTGAGTTTATTACGGCTGACATGAGAACAACTCGTGTTGCGGACCAACAAAGCATAGCAAAGAACCACTGTTGGGGAATTCTTTACCTGGGCATTCTGCAGAATGTTGTTGACCAACACAACTCGTCGTCTGGCATTAAGCAGTTTCTTAACATAGGGGTCCAGATCCAGGGCCACCTTCTGATCCTCATTGATTCGGCACAGTTCTGGGGATAGAGGAATGGAGCAACAAAAAATGGCTCACCTTGGACGCTTAGGGAAAGCAGGGGTGGAAAACAATCGCATCCAGTTTGCCTACTCTCCTTTTCCTTTTCCTAAGACATCCCTGCAAGGAGGAGTCCGTTGGCGGCCTAGAAGTTCTGGCAGCAAGCGACAAAGCCTTGCCCAGAGATGACCAAGATACAGAGGTCCTGGGCAGGAGGTGGAGGTTTTCGGGCATTCAAGCTGCGCACTCACCTGTAGCGAGGTTGTCAATCTGTTCTCGGAGCTCTACCTGGCTCTCCCTGTAAAGACGCATAAGGCCTAAACGGTCAGTTAGTGCAACGCACAGAACCAAGTCTACAAACGCTACTCCCGAGCCCCGAGGCGAGCCACCCTGCATCACCCGGCCGCCTCGGGGCAATCTCCCACATTTCTCTCGGGCCTAGCTTCCGCCTCGTAGCCCCGCCCTACAAAGCCAGGCTGAGGCCCCGCCCCAAGGGGGGACCCCCTGGCGCACCTGACGGCGTGGACGTGGGAGTCGAGCTGCTGCACCGCCGGCCGCAAGAACTCAAGGAGCCCCTCCGCGAAGAGATCGCGGCCTGTAGGCCCCGCCACCGGCGTCCCTGCCCCGGACACGGCGGCGGAACCAACCCCCGCCATCACGAACAGTCCAGACGTCCGGAACGAACCTGCCGCGAGGGCCGCCGGGAACTGAAACCCGCGGAAGTTCGCCGCGAGGGGGCGCCAGAGAGATGCTGTGCGGCCAGCGCGGGGCGGGGGGGAAGGAGCCGTGAACGGGAGGCGGGGCCAAGGCCGGGCGTATAGACACGTGGGAATTGTAGTTCTTGGTCCTTGAAAGGGCGGGTTTAGGGCCCGGCCAGATAGCTCAGCGGATTAAAGTGCTTGCTTAGGCAGAACAGGGGTCTGGAGTTCGATCCCCAGCGTGCCGTGCCGGCCCCGACCCCGGAGCGCGCTGAGACGGCAATTGAGACTGGGTGTGGCGGTGCACACCTCTAATCCCAGCGCTCGGGAGGCTGAAAAACAAAAGGATCATGACGAGTCTGATCTGACCTGTGTAGTGAGACCCTGTAGATCCTGTACTAGATATGTTGGAAAAGAAGAAAAAAAGAAAGGGTGAGCTGGTAATTTCTCTAGACTTCTGGATACTTTTTGTAAAGTAAGTGCTAATATCCCCAGTTCTCATGTTAATTTATAAAAAACTGATTGTATCATGGTATAGTTCTGTTTTGTTCTGTTTTAGACAGGGTCTTCCCATGTAGTTCAGGCTAGCCTTGAAGCCTGAGCCTTGCAGCTCAGGCTGGCCTCAAGCTTACACCGTCCAAGTGGTTGGAGTACAGGTGTGCACTAGCACGCCTGGCTTTATAGTTCTACATTTCTTTCTTTTTTAAGACCTAAACGGCCTCTCTGTAGACAAAATGTTTATTTTATCTTATTTATTTTAGTTTGCTTTTTTTCCCTCACCTCAGGATATATGAGCCTATCTTCAATCAAGTCAGGACCATTTAAGTATAACACGTAGAAATGTGACACACCATAATAACTGATTTTATTTTTTGTGGTTTGTTTTTAATAATTTTTTTTTAATTTTTAATTTTATGTGTGTGTGTGTGTGTGTGTGTGTGTGTGTGTGTGTGGCCAGCTCAGCCCACCAGGGGGCAGGGCTGGCTGACGTGTGGTGCTGGGGGATTGAACCACAGTCCCTGTGCTTTGCTAAGCTTGTTTCAAGTAGGTGCTTTAGACCACTGAGCCATCTCACCAGCCCCTGGTTTGTTTGTTTTTGAGACATGGTCTCACTGTGTAGTCTAGGCTGGTGCCCATCAACTCATTTTAAATAAAAATAACAATCATGAATTTGTCCCAGGTAGTCCACTTGAGCATTCTTGGTTGACAGCACCCTAGAGTTCCAATCAAGGTGAGGAATCTGCATTACAGGATAGCTCAAGAGTTCTAAATGTCATTTTTCATAGTGGAGTTTCCTTTGAAGTGAGGCATACTTCTACAAAAAGCTTTTGAGTCCAAAACTTCAAATGTAATCCAATTCAACTCTGGTTGGAAGACTTGGTCCAATTACTTGGATGTTTACTTCCCAGTACATTCTTGCTGATTTTCCCAAAGTTCTATTATGGCTTCTGTATGGTAATAAGGTGAAAGAACAGAGGCTTTCAAAAATTGGATCCTCCTAGTACCTCTGCTAGAATTTTATAAATCTGCTGTTGTGCTCTATTCCTGCTGCCAATATCTTTATTATACTGTTGTTGGCAGAAGCAGTACTGAAACCGTGGAATTTGAGACTCAGGGCATTCCAAGCAGACAGCTCTATTCAACTTCATGAGAAGAAACTGCACCCTGCTACTCAGAGATGAAGTTACAATTTCAGGTTAGGTTGAATATCTAACCTGATTGTCAGTCTAAGACCTGGATGTTAAAATTTGCCTTTAGCAGATCTTCTGGGAAACATTCAAGAATGGCCAAAGAGAACCAAGAAACACTAACAAAAGAGTATCCAGGCTCTGGGTATAGCTAGTGGCACAGGGCCTGCCTGGCTAGCAAGTGCAAGGTCCTGAGTTTGATTCCCGGTACAAAAAATACAGACCCAGTGTATCTAAGGGAGAAGGAAGGCATTACATGCATGTTCCAAAAACTCATCCCCTTAAGGTGGGTTATAGTTCAAGATGCTGAATGGAAAAATAATAGCTATCTAGCCGGGTGGTGGCGCATGCCTTTAATTCCAGCACTCAGGGGGCCAAGGCACAAGGGTCATTGTGAGTCCGAGGCCAGCCTGAACTGCAGAGTGAGACCCTGTCTCAAAATGACAAAAAAACAAAAACAAAAGTAATAGCAAGAATTGAAAAAAGATGGACCCTTTCAATCTGCTGAACAACCACTGCTGTTATTCTATCAAGTAACAAAGTATTGAGGTAGTTAGTTCTAGAAATAAAAGCAATCCTTGTAGTATTTATATAATTAATTTCATCTATCAAATGCTGCAGAGCAGCAGTTGTTTCTGCCAGATCCAATTCACAAAATCAGTCTCCTTTAAAAAAAATTTGGAGTTCAATGCGCCACCACCCGATTAGATAGCTATTATTTTTCCATTCAGCATTTGAACTATAACCCACCTTAAGGGATGAGTTTTTTGGAACATGCATGTAATGCCTTCTTTCTCCCTTAGATACACTGGGTCTGTATTTTTTGTACTGAGTTCAATCCCTGGTTCTGGAAAAAAAAAGTTTCTCCCATAAAGGATGCAAATTAAATTACTGCAGTGTTGTAATCTCTGACAATCGGAGTGATCTACTTTTGAAGTAGTTTCAATGGTCTCCCAGTAATTCTTTTTTTTTTTTTTTTTTTTTTTTTGGTGGGACCAGGGATTGAACTCACACCCTTGCACTTGCCAGGGAAGTGCTTATTCCACTGAGCCATCTTCCCGGCCCCTCTCCTAGTAATTCTACCCAAATACATGTGATTATACTAAATCTTTCTTAAAACAGATATGGTGAAATTCAGGCCACTGGGGTCACACTGGGATAAAAGTGCTTCGAGTAGGGACTTCACAGTTCAGCTGAGGTGAGCAGGAGGGAGCATGTGAAGGGCACAGGCCGGGCTGGCAGTCTCTTTCAGTCAGACACTAACTTTCGAGTAACCGAATAGACCAGGTATAGTGGTGCACACTGGTGACCCCAGCACTTAGGAGGCTGAGGCAGGAGGATCAGTGAGAGTTGGAGGCCGGCCTGGGCTACATAGCGAGTTCAAGGCCAGCCTGAAATACATACTAGCAAGACCCTGTCTCACACAACAAATCAAGTAACTAAATAGTAGTTTTCTGAGTTTCATGAGAACCTCTTTACTTTGAAAATGTAGAAAAATTAATGCTTGAATTGTCCTCAGTAGCTCTATTGGTTTATAAGGTTCCAATTTTTATTTTTATTTATTTATTTATTTTTTTTGTGGAACTGGGGATTGAACTCAGACCCTTGTGCTTGCCAGGCAAGCGCTAGATTTCCAAATTTTTGTGCAGAACTGAGGCAATTTTTAAATCTCTGCTTTCCATTTCTTCCCTCACTCCCACCTCTGCCGGGGCTTGCTGGCTGGTCAGCTCCCCCAAGAACAGTAATATAGTTGATTTCAGTTGTTTCTTCTTGTGAGGTCCTGCCACTGCTTCCAACAACAGAAAATTTTACCAAGCTCTCAGGGTGACCAACAAAGGAATCACCTCAGTGAGCCTCTTTTTAGCCACTGAAATAAATTCAAAACTATAGAATTGTGGAAACTGGTCTATACGGATATGTTACTGGTGGAATGCAAATCAAGTTTCTTCACATTGCTTAAAAACTCTTTCATGTCTCTCCTAGTGGGTAATGACTGCATTTAACATTTCCAAGAAACTGTACTATTTTTCTTGCAGTGTTGACCTGAGAAGAATCTGTTTTGTCAAAAAGAAGTTCTATTTTTTATTTCACTATCTTTTCTTGAAAATGTTGGAATAGGGGCTGGAGAGATGGCTCAGTGGTCTAAAGCACCTACTTAGAACAAGCTTGGCAAAGCATCAGGGACCGAGGTTCAATCCCCCAGCACCACATGC